TGATTTCTCGCTTTCTGTCTCTCTGTCTGTCCGGCGAGTGCATACACCCTATGGCAAAAACCTCTCCAAAAAAAGAAAAAAAAAATCATGAATGCTAAGTCATAAAACCTATACTAATGTGTCAAAACAATGACCTAAGACATCATTAGAATCCGTGAACTCACGTTCTTGACACACAGCAAGTAGCAAGTCCTCAAAGACATATTCAAAATATCAAAGTTTTCTCCTCACTGGAAAGCAAGTAAAATTGTACTTGAAGTTCATTTTAGCTTTTCAGGACTCTCAATTTCAAAGTCAATCACTGTCTTGGTTTTTTTGCTTTTACTGTTTGTAGTTTCACAGTGGTTCAGTAGCAGATTAAGAGACTTCAAAAAGTTCACAAGAAAGTGTAATTAAAGTGTGAATTTTTCTTGGTGCAAAAAAGAAATTGTAATCTGTATACAATTTTTTCATAATATGCATTTTCCATGAACTTTTTGAAGACCTTTGTGTCACCAAAAAGTACACGTAAATTACAACCATAACTGGCAAAGAAATCTTAGTTCCTTTCCAGGGAAAAAAATGTTGCCTAGAGTTAACTATTGTCTTCGTTTTTACTTAGAGTTGAATACAGTAAGAATAAGAAGTACCCTCTCCAAATCCAGAAATAAAATAATTATTTCATTTTAGATGAAATATCCTGAAAGTGTTTAGGAGTTTTTATTTCTGTGAGAGATAAAGACAAAAATTTCACAATCAGACCTGGATCTCGTTCCAGCTCTTAACACATCTGCTAGAGCCAAGAGGAAGAAATCTGATGCTGAAATACACCAGACCAAACAGCTGGTCTCCCCAAGGAAGGAGATGAACAGTATGCTCACAGTACACAGTCACTGCAGAAAAGCTCTCTGTAGAGCCTCCTACTTTATGTCTTCTGCTAAAATAGCCACCAGAGGAAAAGAGAGAAGGTTGGTGCATAGCCTGATGCCAGATGGCAGAAAGTGATGATGACAAAACTCCTTCTACCATTGCTAAAAATGAATGTCCTCTGGACAGGTATGAGATCCAATATAGGAAGTAAATTAATAACATTGTCAAGTGTAATCTTCCCCAGATCAAACTGTCAGGAATTAATGAGTTGCATGGTGACCAATACAGAATCATTTTTAATCTTTCATAAAACATTACAATATATAACCCATGCCTTAAATCAGTTCTCCTCCTTGGAAAGATACTTAGGCATTCCACAGAAAAACAAACTGTCCCTGATTCCACTTTGATCAGGAGTTCATGCTTAGCACTGACTCACACATCTTGGTTTAACTTCAAGTTTATCATCTCAATAAACTCTAGTAATAGCATCCCTAACACACAGCCTTTCAGGAGATGGGTCATTAAATAGTCCTTGTACAAGTCATTCTTTTGCAAAGCCTATGGTCCAAGGAAGAAAGGGATAAACAAACAGAAAGGGTAACCAGCCCTGGATCAAATAAACATTCTCCTTATTCTAAGTATTTTAACTTCTTGGAGGACATTCTCTGCTGGCAATATTAGACAACAACACCATAGTATTATCAGTGATAATTGTGGTTAGTACTTAAAATGTTAAATAATCTGATTTTCAATCAGGAATGCACATTATACTAACCTATAGAATTTAATAAAAATATGGAGGTCGGACTGGCCCTGTAGCTCAATGGTTAAGGGAGCTAGATCCCATATGGCCAACTATAGTGCAAACCCCAGACTAGTCAGCTTGAAAAGTACACCAGGTGTGTGGGAGTGCGTGTGCCCAAAATTCTTATGGGAAGGAGAAATGGAGGAAAAGGAATTGCAGCATGACCATGCCCTTCTGGGGAGTGCCTTCCTTCTTTCTCTCTCTTTCTTTCTCTTTCTCTCTCTCTCTTATTCTCTCTCTCTCTCCCTCTCTCTCTTTCTCTTTCTGGCAAGCACATGTACCCTCTGGGAAAAGACAGATGATATATAAATAGCTATAGATAGATAGATAGACAGATAGATTGATGAAAGGTATCTAGGACCTACTCAGACTTAATGAATCTTTTTTCATGATATTCCTGGTACATTCTTTGGGGACCATTATGTTATACCCTGAGGTTGTTTTTGTTTTGTTTCATTTTGTTTTGTTTTCCTTGTAAAAACTATATTTCTCCATTTTTATAAAGTCAAAAGTAATATTCCCTGACTTCTTTGAATATGGGCTTATTCTTTATCCTTTAAGACATACTGTCTCATTTGGGTGGAATAGTTTTATTATCTTGTTTTGCATGTCACATTATGCATTATTCTTATTATGAACTCTCATAGGCCTTTCATGTTTTAAAATTATCAGTAGTAAATTACCCATGGCCATTTTGGTTTCTGTCATCTATAAATAGTTTGTTTTCCTCCAGTGCTTGCCTGAGGTTTACCAGCAGCTTGAGGCCAGAGTTTGCATCTTCAACAAAAATGAATCTCATGAGCTCCAGAGTAAAGGATCAGATACGTTAAGTTACTAACACTTCAAAGAACAGACTCTTGGATACAGGCATCTGGTGACACCAGTCAATTAAGTCAGGATTTGCTGAACTTCAGTGGGAAAGCAGAGAGCTTTATGATATCGCTAACCCAAGGTCAAGAACAACAAAATTAATTACAGAAGACTGAATGAACTTCTAAAGGAAATTTTACTGTAGGACCATAAAGAAATCAATATACTGCTGTTTTTGTTTGTTTATTTGTTTTTTAGAGGTTTTTGCCTTAAGGCATATGTGCTAATGGGAGACAGAGAGACAGAGACAGTGAAAGGGAAAGTGAAAAAAATCACACCCCATGGAAGGGATGGCCATGCTGCAATCCCTTCTCCTCCATTCTCCTCAAAGGTTCTTGGGCACGTACACCTGCCTGGCATGATTTTCAAACTACCGGGTCCAAAACTCTAACTGTGGTAGACCATATGGGAGTCTAGTAACATAACCAATACGCTATCTGCTGGCTCCTATACTGTTGTTTTAATATTTTATTTTCTGCAGTCAGCCCTGAATCCTGATCCCTGTGGCTTGAAAAACACACTGGGTACATGTGCTTGTATGCCCCAAATCCTGACAAGATGGAGAAATAGAGAAGTAATGCATACTCATGCCCCCCTAGGAGGTGCTTTAGCCTTTTCCCTCTCTCCATCTCTCTGTTTCTCTGTCTCTGGTGAGCATATATACCTTCTACAAATTTTTTAAAAATTATTTTCTGCATATATAAGAAATCTTTTTTCTTTGTGCTTCAACAATCTGTAACCTATAACAAAGGAGTAGACAGGGTTTATGTAAACTAAAGTGAGCATCTGAGTCTCACCATCCCACATAGGTCAGAAACTCACATCAAATGTGTTTACTTTTTCATGGCAATAGGATTATTTGTATGCATTCCATAATAACCTGTCTTCCTTTTAACCAGAATATAATTGAGAAAATCTATTATACAGACAATGTCTTGCTTGGAATGTCATCTTGGAGAATGAAGGTCATTGAATGCAATTGAACAGGCCATGTAAATCCCACTGGGAATTTTACCTTCAGTTGAGGATTCTAAGGCTAGATTATGAGGAAAGACTGCACAATTGTATCTCTCTCCCAAACTTTTCCTTTATATCAGCAACAGGTTGGCAGTTACATGCCCTATTTGTACCTTCTTTCAAGGGACGACTGTGCAATTTCTATGAGACCAGACTACAGGATGACTGAAAGATAGGCGCTCTGAGGAGAGACTGGTCACCCTGAAGCTCACAGTGTCACAGGTGACTCCTGGTAGGAGTTTCAAGGTCAGAGTCTCCCTAGAATTGGTCAGACTCTGGAGACAGCCCTTTCGGACCCTGTGCTCTCCCTGCTGGCACCACGCCTCCAATCAGACAGGTGCTACAGGAGTGCATTTAGGAATAGAGACTCAAGCCGATCACAACTCAAATGATGCTTCACGCTCGCCTCTCTGAAATGAGAGCTATACTCAGTTTGAGATCATCACAACACAGCGTTATGAATGCAGAGGGCATTTTCATTACACTGCAAAATTAACTGACTAAATAAGAGGTCATAATGCCAGTGAAGAGGGAGATAAAAATCACAAGGCAAATAACAAAACCGTAAGGTCAAATGGACTGTCCAGCCACAGTTGTTCTAGCAGGAAGATTGCCTGGTGCTCATTTGCTAAATAAAGCTGGACTTAAAATTATTACGTAATTAACCTATTACATGGAGAGCCTCCCACATTATTTGTAAGGTTATTATCTAAATGTTAACAATAAAGCAAACTTAATATTTATGAAACATCCATGTCCCCAAAACTGTGTATAATTTTAATGTAGAGGCAATTAACCTCCCAGTAATATTAAAGTAGATCATAGTCACTTAATCTTGTCTAAAAGCATCATAATTTCAGAGACTTTTAAGATCAAAAATACAATCTTTGTTATATTCTTATACAACTAGAAAAAAGTAAAGATTTATAAAGTGTCAATTTATTATAAGACTCTAGTTAGAAAGATGCTTCTTTCATGTGAATACTCACCTCAGTGAACCAGATCCTACATGCACATGAACACACACATATACACTCAAGTGTTATTCAAGCCTGCTAAACTGTGGTTTAAGCCAAATGGCTCTGTATAAAACTGGGACATTTTGGGGGATCTCCATACTTGGATCAGGGATCAGGATTTGAGCCACATGGTTGGCCATGTGATATCTGGCTTCCTTAACCTTCATCCTGGATACTCCAGGTTCTCCCCAAAGAGCATAACTTTCTTCTAAGTCAATCGAATATTTAAGAATATTAGTTTGAAAGGCTGTTAAATTATTCGCCTGTCCAGAGCACCCAATTATTAACTGAAAAGAGCATCTACGTGTCTCAGGCTTGCAGGGAAGGACAAACCAGACTTTCACTTTTTGCAGAATAATGTACTCCATAGTCGCCAGGTCTGTGTCCCCTCCTGAATACCTGCATCTTAGCAAAGGCCACAGGAGAGAGACCGTTACCTGAGTTTCTACGTGGCTCCGCCCGTTCTCAACTTTGAAGACGGACTTGGGTTTCCTGGACTTGAAGTTACCCATGCTGGGTCGCAACACGCTGTCCACCAGAACTGGGTGCTCCACGTGCTGCGGCGCCTCGCGGGATGGCGTCTGCTCCTCTAGGAGCGTGAGGGCAGTGTCGGGGTAGTTCTCTTTATTGTTCTCATCTCTAAAACAGGAAAGAAAGACTCCATTTAGAAAGCACCACAAGAGAACCAGCAGTTAGCGTAATGGCTATGTCGCTGGACTCCCACGTAGTCGACCGTGGTTCGTGTCCCGGACCCGGTGGCTTAAAACTCATGCCGGGCGCGTGTGCGTGCGTGCCCAAGATCCCGAGAGGAAAATGGAGGAGAAGGGATTGTGGCGTGACCATCCCCCCTGGGGGGTGATTTCTCGCTTTCTGTCTCTATGTCTCTCTCTGTCTGTCTGGCGAGCGCACGCGCCCTACAGTGAAAATCTCTCCAAAAAAAAAAAAAAGAAAGCACCACAAGCACAGGCAAATTGCTTCAGGAAAAACGTGAGAACTCTTGAGCCCACTGTATATAGGGCACCTAGCAACATTTTTAGCTAGACTTGGACAATTTTACAGAAGAACTTAAATTGAATTTCACTATTTTTACTCTTCCACCTTCCCAGCCCATGTTGGTGGGTGGATATATACATTTTGCAATTGTAACTATGCCCATACCATCAGTGTTTATTTTTAAGTTTTCTAAGATGCTATCACGTATATCCTATTTCCCTCTCACAATAATAATGTGAGATTGTAACTTTATAGATGAAGGCTCTAAGACCCAAAGATGAAATACATTTAAGGGAAGGGCTAATTCCCACAGACCCAGATCCATGATGGATCTCTTAATTTCTCATGCCCATGTTCTTACTTAAAGGCAGGATGGTGCCTCCTCACCAGCAATGCTAGTCTATAATAATCTCCCTATAACTTTTAGTCATTTAAAAGGTTAGTAGGGTCTATGTTGATGGGATACATGTTACTTGAATAAAATCTAAGGCAAGGGCTGAAGTTTACCAAAGGTCATCTGAACCAACACCCTGAATACAAAGTCCAAAGTTCCTGATGTCTAGGTGCTATCGGTGCAAAATCACTGGAAGAGACAAAATAGGCTGGTGTTTCCTTCATTCATTTGGTGCTGGGACAGCACTTACATGCATCCATCAACAATTGAATTCAATACAATAGTCCCAGTCACCTCCAGTTTCAATTTTCTCAAAAATACTGACAAGATAACACTCTTATTAGAAGTCACTTGTCTCATTTTCAGTTTTCATTTTTGGTAAAATCAAGCAAACATCGTGAAAATAACCAAATAACTATTCATATGATCAATGTAGTCAAGCTTAACCATTGTCAAAAATAGGTACTACTGGGTCATTGGAAAATTCATGACCCATTTTTGCATAGAAAAATATATCATGACTTTTCCGATGACCAAATAAAGCACACAATCCTTGGGTGTTGTTTTTCACTTGTACGCCCTTTCCAGAAGCACCTATAAAAGAGCTTAGCAGACATTCTTAGCTGCTCAAGGACATGCACAAAGAAGGGATTTAAATGTCCACTATTCAAGACACCTTTCACATATAAATGGGATATCAAATTCACTAAGTTCATATTAGAGAGGATGACTTCTAATTAATCTCTAGGCAAAGAGAAAAATAAAAGGGATTATTGGTCTAGAATGTGATCACAGAGTCAAGGTGGGCAAGGTGTGGAAATAAAGGGATATGACACAACAAGCTTAAGTCTCAGGATAAACTTAGTGATGGCTATAAATGAAAACCCAACAAATGAAACAATGCTAGTAACTGAAAAAAATCAGGCACCAGGAGGTGGCACAGTGGCTAAGGCACTCGACTTCCACATAGGCCACGAGGGTTCGAGTACCAGATACGGCAGCATGAAAATCATGCCTACCATGTGTGTATGCATGCCTAAAATCCCAAGATGAGAATGGAGGAGAAGAAAATGTGGCATGGCCATCTCCTGGGGGATGGGGGGATTTCTCACTTTCCCTCTCACTGTCTCTCTCTCCATCAAGCTCATGTACCCTATGACAAAAACTGAAAAAAAAAAAAAATTTAAAATTTTTTTCCAAAGCCACTAATGGGTTTGACAATTAATATCAAACCATAAATTGGAAACTACACTTGTCAATTTGAGCTGTTTCTTTCCTTAGAAACAAATAATATTCATCCACTCTTTGTCCTGTATGAGAAATGAAAGGAAAAATAGCTGCTTTTCCAGTTACCATACTGTTCCTCATTCAAATAGAATTCCAGAACTCCCAAGAATAAGAAAAAAAAAAGAGTCATTTTTCAAATCTAAAATGACTCTTTCAATAGATTTATTCCCAAAATAATACTCAAACTTTGTTTTCTTATCATATTTTCAAGTTGCTCAAAATTTAAAGATCTCCTTTATGTTTGACTTGAAAGACAAGAAAGGGAAGGAAGGAGGAAAAAGTATCTTTTTCTCATCATACAAATATAAAACCTGATTATAAAAATCATCTTAGAAATAAATTTCAAGGGCTGGCCCTATGGGTAAGGGAGCAGGATCCCACACAATCGACTGTGATTCGAATCCTGGCCTGGGCATCCTGAAAAGCAAGCCAAGCATGTGAGAACATGTCCAAAATCCCAACAGGGTGTAGAAATGGAGGAGAAAGGATTGTGATGTGACCATGCCACACAGGGGGGTGCTTTCTCCCCCTCCTCTCTCATTCTTTGTCTCTCTTTGGCAAGTGCTCATGCCCTTTGGAAAAAAAAAAAAAAAAAAAAAAAAACTCTAAATACTGGCCTTTCAGGAGCCCTGAAATAAAAACAGAACAGGTTATACAGTTTATGCCACTTTGAGAATAATTCATAACTGAAAACGAGCATGATATCCTGAATAAAAATAAGAATCTGCAAGATCTTCCCACTTACCAATTGTGTAGCCTGGGCCACTTGGCTTCAACACTATAATTCACATCCATAAAATGGGTGTAACAGCTACCTTGCAGGGATTATGCAGTCTCTGCAAAATGCCTATCATAGAACGCTGGCTCAAGGTTGCAAACCAAGGAGTTAAAGCTATTGCTATTCTGAGGCAGGAAGAAACGCAGAAAAACTGGTTAACCACATAGGTTTTGCCAGTGCACATGAGTCCTTGGTGAATAAGACCATACAAGAGGACTTAGAAATGTTCATGGAAAAATAGAATTAAAGTATAAATTTATATGCAAAAAAATGTAAAGTCAATGCACAGCTTTTCTGTGCACTTTTTGAAGACTCCTCATACTCCAGACATTTAATGACATGTTAGGTGAATAATCTAGAACCTTTCCCATAAGGCATATAATGAAAACATTGACGTAAGCTAATCAATGTTCAATTCAATTTATTTATTGAGTGTTCCCCACATATAAGGTACTATTCTGGGTGCTAAGGAGATTATCCAAAAGTAGACATGATCAAACTTCCCTCAAAAGCTGAAAATCTAGTAGAAGAGATGAGACATGAGAATTATTAGAATTCAAAGGAGAGCTACCAGTCCAGATGGTTTCTGTTTCTTACAAGTAAGAATCCAGCAATGGTGTTCATACCTGAGACTGGTGCAATCAGTCTGGTCTTCATGTAAAGAGATGGTGTCTTCCTCACACCTGGGGAGAAGGGGGAAAAAAAAAAATGTCAGATCCTATTGTCTGCAATAGCAGTCCCAGCAATAAACAATAATCTAGAATTATTTTAAGATGACCATGAAAAGCTAAAACATCTAACAATTCTCACTACTCTCTCCCAAACCAGCTCCAATTTCCATGTCTATCAGGTAATAAAAACTCCCGTCACATCGTGTGAGCCTAAACACTCAGAACCTGATGCGAGCTCCTTTTTGCCTCCATTGCACTGCATTGCCTAAACTAAGAAGATCACACCAAGGACATACGTGTTCATATTGTAGTACTTGAATGGACATCAGGCACGAAGATCAGTAGACTCTTGTTGGCTCAGGGGCCAGCACGGTGGTTAAGGTGGCTGGATCCCACATGGCCTATGTGTGGTTCAAGTCCTGGACCTAGTGGCTTGAGAAATACACATGCATGCGTGTGTGCCTAAGGTCCTGAGAGGAGAATGAAGGAGAAGGGATTGTAGCAAGGTCATCTTCCTGAAGGGTTATTTTTCACTTTCCTTCCCCCTCATCCTCTTGCCCATCTCTCTCCAGCAAATATGTACACCGAGTAGCAAATTTAAAAAGAGAGAGATTACATTATATGCTTCTTTGCATTTTTCTCTGCTTCAGGCACTCCTAGACTACGCCAGCTCCTATTTGGTTTACTATGGTACAGTTGCCTTGGACCTTCTTGATCTTGTGAAAAGAAAAAGATTCCTTTTTGCAAAACTTCTGCATTAACTGTATGAGAAATTATTTTCTCTTCCATACTGACAATCCCCAGTGCTCCATATTGCTTAGGGAAATCTGGAGTAGGAGACTACACTTGAGCGTAGGAGGGAGCCTTTGTTCCTATTCTCAGCTCCACCCCAGCCTGGAATGCATTTTCATCTTCAGCTCCCACTCGTCCTTACTACCCAAGTCAGGTCCCACCAGCTCTGTGAACCTTCCCAGCCAAGTTCACCCACGTGTCAGGTTCCTACTTCAACCTTAATGCGCAAATGTTTACTTTTCATTTCGAGGTTCTAGTAACCAACTATATCTTGCCTCAATCTGCTATGAAATCCTTTACACATCTGAGGCCTTTTTACTTAGTTACTAATTCTATGAGTAGAGATAAAACTATTGGGTTGTCAGAAAAATCATAATTTTTGCATAGAAAAACAGAAAAAAAATACACCATGACTTTTCCAACAAGCCAATATAATTGAGCTAACTGGTAGTGTGATAGCCAGATCCTGCATGGCTAACTGTACGGTTCAAGAGCTGAATCTGACAGCTTGAAAACCACACCAGGCATTTGTGCATGTATGACCAAGAAAGAAAAAAAAATCCTGACAGAAAGAATAGCAGAGAAGGGATTCGGACATGACCATTCCCCATGAGGGTGCTTTCTCATTCTCTCTCTCTTGCTCTCTCTCTCTCTCTTGCTCTCTCAGGCATACCCACCCTCTAAGAAAAAATAAAAGTGAAAGAGAAACAACTATAATTTCTTGCTCTAGATATACTGCTGCAGTGCCAAGCACAGTGCTACTCTAGAGGAGACACTGAAAAAGTACTCGAATTGAAACATTAACTCTGTTCACTCAGTGGGTCTGGTCCCTGAAATAATTTAACAAGCATTTTTTAATCAATTGCATCTCAGCTACTGTGTTAGGTGTTGGCACTGAGTTTCTCAGACTCTTTGGAGTTCAAGATTTGGTGTGTTTTGTTTAATATGCCAGAAGGAGTGCACATTCACTCCAGAGAGACAGAGAGAGAGAAAGCACCCCCCGTGGGGCATGGTCATGCCACAATCCCTTCTCATTTCTCTCGTCAGCAGCGTGTTTTTTAAGGCTTTGGGTCTGACATTCAAATCACTAGGTTTGCCACACGGGATTCAGCAACCTGCATCACTATGTCACGGGACCAGTCTCAACCAACTTGTGTTCTCTTTCTATTTCAATCCAAATACTTTGGTGAAAATGGCACAACAATGTCAAATTCCTATTAGAGTTATTAAGTGCATACTCATTATCTCGGTTATTTTCTCATCTCAAATAAATTACAAACAATTTGGAGTCCCACACTGAGTAATATTGCTTCTAAGGGATATAAAATTTGAAAAAGGCCTGAATCCTGCTCTGAGAAATGTATAACATAAAAAGTTAAAAAAATAAATGAGCAGGCTCAACCTTATTGTGCAGTCAGTGGCAAATCAAACTGCAGTGCTGGAAGCCGCGTGACTGACTGCAGATTCAGATTCCTGGGTTGACTTGAAAACACACCAAGTGCATGTGACATGCCCAAGATCCTGATGCACTCGAGGGCTGGAGATAGGGGCTGCTGTGTGACAAGACTCTGTGGAAGGTGCTTCTCTCTCTGTCTCTCAGGCATGCACACGTGCTCTTATCATGAATGAATTAAACTTTTAAAAATACAGAAGCAAATACCTCTATATATATATAACCAAATTAAAGTATTTATACTATATAAAAAATTTTATTTTAAATATGTTTTATTGGTAAAAGTGTATATTTAAACCACAATGAATTCATGGAAATGCCAATCCTCTTCACTTACAATCTCTTTTTAAATTATGGTTTTGAGGTGAGTTAAATGGAGGCCACTTATACACTCTAACTCTCTCTGCCTGCTGAAATATTTTCCCCCTCTGGCAATTAAAAAAAGAAAGAAAGAAAGAAAGAAGAAAGAAAGAAAGAAAGAAAGAAAGAACAACAACATAAACAGCTGACTTAACAAAATGTTTCTATTAACAAAATGAACTAAATTTCTTTGCTTTCTTATATTTTTAACAGCCAATACCATTTCTGCCCATCTATGGAAAACAATAACAAAATTCCTAAATATTGCCTTAGTCTTCATTAGTAGCATTCATACAGGCTTTGTAATGTAAGTAAAAATGTTTTCCAATAGCAAAGCAGAAAAATCAGTGAAAAACAGAAATCTAAAATTGTTGCCTCCAAAGAACTAGGAGGCAACAATTGAATTGATCAACTAGAAGATCAGTTCTGGAGCTCAACGATGCCTATTGTTGGGATATTTGGCAAGAATTTATTTTTCCCCCTTGTTTGATTTATTAATCTTTCTCTCCCAAGTGCAATCAGTTAAAAATGAAAACGGTACCAGAACATTCAAAGTTGCAGATGCTTTCTGAAGACCGGACCTAATTAGTTGGTCCACTTAATGCGTACTGAAAACACTGCCACTGAAGGAAACATAATTCTGCACTCACAGATACAGCAATTAAAATAATTCTCCCTACTGTTTTATATGACACCCATAAACAAGCTCTTCTAGTTCAGTTCAGTTTTCATGTACTTTGATAATGACCATCAACTTTCTTTCAATTTGCATCTCCTTTCTGTCCTTACATGGGACCCAATGCAAAAGTAGAATACTGGCCCAATGACAAAATTGGATTCTGGGGGCCAGCAGGTGGTATAGCGGTTAGGGCGCTGGACTCCCACATGGCTGACTGCAGTTCAAGTCCCAGATCTAGTGGCTTGAAACTCATGCTAGGTGCCTATGCGTGTGTGCCCTAAATTCTGAGAGGATAATAGAGAAGAAAGGATAGCAGCATGGCCATCCCCCTGGAGGGTAATTTCTCACTTTCCCTCTCACTTTCTATTCTGGCTCTCTCCAGTGAGCACAAATACTCTATGGCAAAAACCTAATAAATAAACATAAACACACACACACACATACATATATATAAATGTATAAATAAAATTAGATTCCACAGTGAGAATTCATAGCTAGATATTCCTATTTGTGGAAGAAAATCAACTGAGACCAGGGTCCAATTGATCTGAGGCATGATGTACGTACCCTGTACTACGGCCCTATACAAGAATTTAAAGACTAATTTCTTTAATATCTTAGATATTCAAAAATAGGCATCTTCTATTGCAATGCTTTTCAAACTGTAGAGTTTGACCTAGTAGCAGAGCTTAAATGAGATAGCAGCTACCAGAATTTTTTAGTTAGTGCTGTTACCGAAACAGAGTAGTAAATATCAGCATAGTAAGACTTAATTCCTGTTTCATGAAACTTATTTAAGGTATGCATATATACATATGCACTGGATTGCATATAGGATATTTTTCTTATGGCCATTCATAGTAATAAGAAAAAAGAAAAGGAAAAGACATCTGTATTAAGAAAGTTCTTTTGGCACAGTGGTTAAGGTGGCTGGATTCCACATGGCCAACTGCACAGTTCAAGTCCTAGATCCAGTGGCTTGAAAAATGCACCAGGTGCATGTGCATACTTGCCCAAAAATCCCAAGAGGAGGCTGAAGAAGGGATTGAGACATGGCCCTACCCTTTGAGGGGTGCTTTCTCACTTTCTCTCTGTCTCTGTCTCTCTCTAGCAAGCACATGTACCCTATCGCAAACTTAAAAAAATAAACTTCTGTTGTAGTTCTCAGCAGCTACATTCTAAATCCCAGAGTCCCTAGTTTGTAGTTATTCATACAAAATATGGAGAATTTGTTTTCACAATCATTTCTTTGTGAAGTGCTCAGGCTTGTTATTTTTTTTATGTTTGGACATTCACTCCCTGTATCAAACACAAATAAGAAAAGTTGTATAGGACTTCACAGCTCACCTGCTCTCCCATCATCTCTATTAAGTTTGACTGTGCTATCAATATAAGGCAGGTTACCTTCACACAGAAGCCAAGTTATTATCCAGGACTCCAGGAACCAAAGGAATAAAGTCTGAGTGTTTCTGCACCACCAAATTGAGCCCAAAAAGGAGGAACCAAATAACCTCTTCAGTCTATATTTCCAGAGGCTCACTAGAGAGGACAATGATGTTTCTTAGAATACTAGTGGGACAAGAAATATCCGTGGAAAGTTCTCTTTTCATGATAAATAGAAAGAGAGCCCTCGGATTGGCTATTACATAGAATTGAGCTATGCAAGAAAGGGATTCCAACTATCCTGGAGTATCATGTTCCCTGAAGGCAAAGTTGCAAAGTGTGGCCGCAGAATCACCTGCATTGGCACTACGTGGAGTACCTGATTAAAGAAGACACCAGCCCATACCCAACCCTACTCACTACATCCACTCTGAGGGCGGGGCCTGAGAATGCGAAATGTTTAAAAGATTGCCCACCCTCATCACTAGAATGCTTCTAAAATATTAGTGCTGACCTAAAGGTTTCTAAAACCCAGACCAGCTCCAGGCTGACTCCTGCAGTTACTTCCTCTTGAGCTCCCGCTTTGAGATGATTTTTCACTTTAATTCCCTTTCCCCATTGATATAGATAATCAGTTGTTATTGAAAATCACTGCTTTGATGATAATTTATCAAAAATATTGCAGGCCAGGATGCCTTTCAAAAAGCAAGATACAGCAAGTAGGAAATGACCATGGAGAGATAATGGATAAAAAAGTAACACAAATTCAGAGGAAAAGGCCAAGGCCATTCTGATTTCAAAAAAATGTGGAATAAAATCCTGAGAAGAAAATGTAGAAGGGACTGGCATGTGGACACCCCTCAACTCTTTATCTCCCTCTCACTTTCTCTCTCTCTCTGTGTCACCCTCACTGTGGCAAGTGCATGGCCCCTACAGCAAATTTATAAAAAAAAAAATTGGGAGTAGACACAAAAATTGGATTGGTCCAGAGGTGCACAGACAGTGCCAAAACAAGATAAGAATAAAATCTGTTCTCAAGTCCCTCCCAATTCTTCTTCTCTTTGACTCCTATGAGACCCCCAGCTGGCCAAGAGAACCCTGTCAGGTTAGAATAGCTGACAAAATGTTTCATATGAAAGTATTAATGACAACTTGAATCCACTTCCCAGGGGCACAGAATGTTTAATTTCCTTTTTAATAAGGGTCACCACCAGAGGCCTTAATCCAAAAAAAATTCTCTCTCAGTGGAACTTCAGGCACTAAAGAAAATAAGTGGGTGTGGGTGGGAGGAAGTAGGAATGGGTGGGGACAGGAGGGGGTGGAACTCTTCTTGTATCCAAAGCACATACAAGAGTAAAAGGCCTCCTCTGGGTAGGCCTGGACCACACCCAAACGTTCACTGAGCACCTGCTGTATCTGCATCTCAGGACAGTGCCTCTGTCCTGCTGGCTGTGGGGCCATGCCCAGACAGACAAGGAGCATGGCTCATAGTCCCAAAGGGAGAGAGAATGCTCCGTGGGACAATAACTGCCTTAGATCACTTTAGTCTGGTGCTGTGTTCCACCTATGAAGCTTTTGGTATGTTCCTTAGATTTTTACATTAGCCAGATGGCATCCCAATGATCACCCAGTGCCTTTTAAAATAAATCACTGTCACGTCTCTGAAAGTAACAACACGATCTTATGCAATCAGAACTCCTTGGGGAATGTCCAAAGACAAGGCACCAGACTCTCCTCAGCATTTAACCATAAAACCTCTATCCAAAAAAAATTCATGTGAAATCTGGAACGAAGTGTCTCCAGTTTGAAGCTGCTATGTGCCTGTAAGCACACACGGCTCCCAAGAACCAGGCCAGGAAAGCGTTCATTGCTTGCAAACACAGCAGAGGCAGGACAGCAACACCTCCACACCTGCACCAGGATGCCAAGGCCTCGTTTTTGACTGCAGATTTCGGCACATCTCCCCGCTCTGGCTTTTAGGAAACCAGACTGGCAGCACAGTTTACCAAGCAATCTCCTTAAGGGATGTGGGTGGGAATGTGGGTATCTCAGGCTGTATCTTCAAAAGTGGACCCTATTTTGTATTTTTGTGTGACTCCACTTAAGTGAGCTCAAAGTTGAACTCTAAGAAAGTAGTACATCCAAACAGAGAAACCAAAGAAAGTAAGAAAGAAGAGGGCCCAAGGAGCACCGTAGATTCTTGCCTATCTCCAGACCCTTGTGACAGTGGTTGAACCTGAAACTCAAAACAATACTTATTTATTTGCTTTTAGGCAACGTTAGCAAAAAAAAAAAAAAAAAAAAAAAAAAAATTTCAAACTTAGTTGGGTGTATTCTT